ATGACAAAATGGAAGGCTTGCACAAAAGGCAGAAAGCTGCTGTGCTGACATGACTTTTAAAAGTCTGTGCTATACCAGTAAGACATAAGGAGTCAAAGAAAGGAAATACTGACATGGGAAATAACAACTGAGAGTGGGAGGAATCGATTAAACCACTGAAGAATGGTGACAGACTGGTTTAAAACAGCCTGGAGATTGAGGCAGCAGAACAGTAAAGGTGGGGTTGTGTGAGTCATACTTCTACAACTCTACTCACTTTACTAGAAATATCAAAAACATCTCCAAAACAAACAAAAAGCCAAAACCACAGAGGCTTCAGATGTTTCTCAGCAGAAGCAGCAATTCAGCTGGAGGGTGGAATGAGAGGGACGAGAGCTAATGAGGCCTCCAGCCCACTAAAGAGCATCACTGAACCCTAACCCACTGTACCTGTCGTGGGGTCACAATGCCTATGTGATTATTTCAGTCTGTTCTGAAAACAAAGCAGTGCATTAAAATCTTCTTATTTAAGCAAGTGTCAGCAAATACTTTAAATATTGGAAATAGTGCATTTAAAGTAGACAGGGTAAATAAGCTGGCTGTATCAAGCAACATAGGAAGCCTTTGGAACTACAGGCCCAGCTTGCTGCCATCATTGTTGAATAAGTTAGGAAAAGACCTCATTCTACACCTAGAAATATAAAGTCACACTCAAAGATGAGTTCCCTGAGCTAACGAGCGATCATTACGGTGACTTTCGTATTGATTATTCCAAATATCTGCAGTAAAATTAAATTGTGATTACAGAGCAAATGGAAAATGTATCTCTTGCTAATTGTAGGCACAAATGTAATGAGCTGCCAGAGTCATGTGCATAAGTGACTGCAATGATTTGCATTTCCAGAGCCTGTAAAGCTGCAGGATGAATGGCAAAACTCTAAGTATAGACATTATTTAGTATAGACTGCACTTCACTAGACCTACACCAGTCGTAACACTACTGAGGAATGCCAGCTTTTGCTACTTGACCTGCCACTTCTGTTTTCTTACTCAAAGAATTTGCATCAAGGGTATTAATTACAGAAGCCAGAACACAGTGAAACAATGAACACTGATGTAAATTCTCAGCTCCCTCGAAGGAGAAAGGAAATAATGTAAGAATTTTCTTCTTTCATTTAATGCCAATTAGCAAAGCATGGTTGAGATTAATCATAGAACTGAAACACAATTAAACATCGCTACAATAAATTACTATTATGGTTATTATTTACAACTTGGCTGTGGCTAATAACCAGTGAGACTGATGCTCATTACAACAGATAATGTATAATTAGCTAATATTAGATATTTGATGTACTAAATGGCTGTCATAGATCTCTTCTTAAAAGACTGCCACTACATTTTAAAGTCACTTAAAAATAATAAAATACTATTATAATAAAGTACAGCATAATGAGTAGGAGAAAAGAACAGGTTCTAAAAAATGGATGAGACATTGCTTGGTAAGTTGACCTTTTAGAAATACCCACTCCTTCACTTATCTTCTAAACGAAAGGCAGGATTATTTTAATTCCAGTTAATGAGAGCAGATATAAGTGCTCATAATTAAAAGTCACTCACATTTGAGCCAGCTACAGTTTTGCTATTATAACATAGAATAACACTTGAGTTAAGATCGCATGACAAATACCATTCTTCTCCGTTATATTCCAAGTTCTTCGTTCTGAAGTATTTAAATTGTGACATAACTTTTTCCCACAAGACAGAGACCTAATTATTCAAGCAATATTATAAAGGAACAGAAGAAAAAAAAACTTCTGTTCAAAAGAAGATCCTACCTACATGGAAATTTAAGTGCAAAACCACCAACAGTGTTCTTTTCTGAGAGGAGAAACAAACTTCTTCCACAATATAGGAGAAGATCTTCCTAAAGTCTTTTCTAAAGAGTTTTAGCCATGAAAAAGAGCAGAGAACTGAAAGCTGGAATGTGACATAAAAATAACACTCACTAAAAAGAAATGCCTATGATGGTTTTATCAAAAATGGTTGTAGAAAAGTTTTGCCAAAGTGTCTGTGTACATGGCTGAACTGGGTTTTTCCCTAAGATTCTGAAGAGCACAGCTAAGGAAGACTGCTCTGAACATCTGGGTATTGCTACCTGCACAGGGAGAAGGAACCCAAAGCCACACAGAAATTGGCTGTACTGGATGCTGTGCTAAGTTGTTCCTTCCTCAAAGAAAACCAAATCTACTATTTACAACACTTACAGGGGATAGGTTGCTGAATGGCATTACCTATATGTTTATCTGGTAATATTCTCATGGTTGGTTTAGGATTCAACAGCTCTGGAGTTGGCTACCTTTACTTCTTACCCAATTGTTTTGTACTCCTTTTGCTGGCTATCAGTGATAAACTTTTAAAGGTGCTGTCTTGATGTAAGTAAAGTCCAATGACTCAATTAAAGTAATGATGTACGATGGATTCACGTGGACTACCTCTTGCTGCGCTGGAAAATATCTTCCTCCAAACACTCCTGAGCAGGGTCTTATACGATTTGGATCTTTCTGCTACAAGTCACATATACTGGGAGAATGGTAGCTGAGATTGGTGTTAGCAGAGCTGAGATGCAACTTACAAATAGTTCCAGGGAAATCTGGTTTCTAATTTTCATTAGATTAAATTCAAAATCTTAAAATGGTTTTGTGCAAGCTTAGGTTCTCCATATTTTTCCAGCACATATCCTGTGAGACTAAGAATGACAGGCATCTGCTTTGGTGAAGTTAGATGTGCAAGAAGACTACGGTGACAGGATTTGCATTCTTTCCTTATGCAGAAATGCAGACTTTCTTTTGAAGGAGAATTGTTAAAACCCAAGGAAGGACAGTTCCCTTTCTTGGTATAAAATGAGATATGATTGAGAACACAGGCCTGGTTTCATTTCAGAGTCTAATATAGAAGCTCATTAGCTCAGAGAACTTCAACTGTCCCAAAGAGAGGCAGTTTATAGGGCCCTGCTTCGTTACACCTGTGTTTTCAGAACCACAGAATGGAATTTCTTTTTCAATCTCCCTCTCAACAGCAAGGATGTAGGAAAGGTTATTATCATGTTGCTAAGGGAAATGCACCATCACATCATCAAAAGCCAATATTATTGACTGACAGTATTCGGAGAGGGCTATGGCTTGTAAAACCAGTCATTCACATTACAACTGGAACAATAGTGCTCTCTCTTGGAGTGAGTGAAGGAGAAATAACAGAAAATGTTACATTTTACATTATTTTTATTTCTACTAAATGCTGTGAAATGCACTTAACTTTTTCCTGGTCTGACCCCCATTTTACTTGAATTGCAAAGGAAAATGTTTCCTGGTTTGAAAAGTGACTGAAAATGAAAGATTAAGTAATGCTCTCTGCCCTATTTTTCTGTTTCTTTTACCATTTCTACCAGACTTTTAATATAAAAAAAAATCTTTATTTCTTTGCTAGAGCAACTATTCCACTTCAAATAAGTAATTTACAACCCATTTTGGGTTCTAGGAGCACCATTTCCTTCAAAAATAAAGGCACTACAGTGTACTGTAGCAACACAGACAGAGCAATGTTTGATTACCTCAGCATGAGAATTATTAAGTTAGATTTTCTTACCTCTTACACCTTTATCTGAGCTGAGCAGCCCATTTCTTTGTACATGTCATATCTTAGTGGTTTTCCAGGCACTGGGAGACTCAACTACTGAATCTGACTTAGAATGCTGAGCAGATTTCAATGCACATTTAAAGTGGTGTTCCAAAGAAATAAAGATGTGTACCCTGGTATCTTGGCACAAAATTGGTCAATTTCAGCCAAATCCGACTGAGATGGGTCTTAAGAGCATTAAATCCAAAAGAGGAATAAGAATCAGTGAATAGTTGATCACTGATATCCAATCTGTACCTCCACTGATGAAACAACTGAGCAAGCACAATCCTTAACCCTTCTAAAAGCAAGAATCAAGAAGCAAGTTAGCTGGTTGTACAACTGTTGCACAAACACTGAAAATATGAAAATATGGGGGGGAAAAAGGGAATTTCTTTTCTGGGCTTGGCCAGGTCTGAAGGACACTGTTATTTTTTGTGCTGGAAGAAGTTCAGGGCAGAAAAAAACTTTCCATCATCAAACTTCTTTAATTCCAGTTACTCAGCTTTAACTTAGCATCATCACAAAGTGACTAAAGCTCAATCCAGTCAACTGATTGTATGCACACAAAATGTGCAAACTTACTTGGGAGAGGGAAAAACTTCAAAAGGGATATTCTTGTGAGTGTAACTTCGTCCATATTATGACACCTACCGAGTCAATGGTGCTGAAAACCAAAGTTCCTCTTATCTAAGCAAACACCTGGCAAGGTGACCTCTTTGCTAGATGATGCATCACTGCTCTGAGTACCTGGGTGGCCTCAGGAGACCTCTCCCACAAGTTAGGATCTGCCTAAGGCTATTCTGTGTCCCAGGGATGGATACCATGGTGTCAGCTGAAAAACTGACACACGGCAACTCACTCGTCACAGCTTAAACCTCATGAAGTTGTGGACATTGTCCCAACATTTATTATTAACTAAAACTCCAGGCCTGTGGCTTACACTGAACTTATGCCAAAACTGTTCTTGAACAGACCTTTAATGTCTCCTGAATCCTTGGAGAAACTAATCATCATTTTGTTAAAAGATATACATGAAATACACAATAAAGAGAAAATCTGTTGATGACACACACTTACACAGGAATGCACATATCCAAATGGGATAATGGATAACAATACAGTCTTACAAATAACAGTTCACAGCTGTAGTCAGCTGGAAAAGTATTCAAAACCAACATTGTATTCTAGGTATTTCTTGAAAATTGTATGGACACAGAACATCTTGTGACATCACAGTAACTTGAAGAAAAGGAAGAAGTAATAATAGCACTTCACAGTATAGCAGGTAACATGATAAGCCAAGATTAATAGACAATATTTATGATTAAATTAATTAACTGTACCTTGAAAAACAATGGCTCCTCAGGAAGGGGGCTAACAGGGAGGGAGGTTGTGCTACTGGCTGGACTCATGTCCGTACTCTGAAAGAAAAACACACAGGAGTTTGCATTTTCAATCAAGTTCTGTGGACAACTTTTTTACATTTTGGGGGAGGGTGAATGAAAGAGCTTGGAAACAGCACTGAAAAGTCAATAGAATTAGACTGACAACTGCAACCTGTACTTTATTTACTTGTAATTAGTTCAAGTATTTCACTAATGGGTAAGTACTTGCATTTTATTTTGAATTAACTCCCCACTCAAAGATGAAAACACATGCACAAGTACACAAACACACAGTTCATATTTGTTCATATAGAAAAAATTATTCTTCTCGAAAGAAAGTATGACAAAATTTTAAATTACTTTTGGGATGGCTCAATAGTATATTTAGAAGGAAAAATTAAGAGGAAAGCAATGTATTTCAGAAAAATATTCTGTTCGATGATTAAAAAAAGATCCTATTCACATGAGTCAATACACCTTACAAACAAGCACTAATACAAGAAAAGAAACAGTGAAGACCAAAGTTAATAAAAATAGTTCAGTATACTTCAATGGATCTGTCAAGTCAAAATGCCTGAAAGATTGACCTAGAATCCCCACCCTCTTCAGATGATATTTCAGTAACTCATTGGCTAGCATAGTCATTATTTTTACAGATGTGACATATTAAAACAGAGTATGTGACTCTTAACAATACAGAATGATAATAACAGAAGAACAAAATCTGGAGTTTAAAAACATATATAAACAATATCACAATTGTTCCAGAGACAACTAGAATAAGGCTACTTCTTGGGGAAAAAAGTCCATAAGCGCTAAAATGAAAAAAATCAACCATGACCACCAATAAAAAAGAAATTAAGAATATTTTAAAAAGAAGTCAACAAGTTTGCACGATCTAGTAGTGTATTCCTTTTCACAATGTAGCATTGCAATGCAGAACGACTTAATAAATTCAACTTGTGCACTTCACTAATCCAATACCTCTTTTTGCATAGCTATGAATCAATTCTAAATCCTTTGATAAATGCAAATTCTGCAAGTGAAGCGCACCACTCCACCCAGTAATTTCTAACAGCTCATTCATCAGAAGATGTTTATGGAGAGACACTGCATTTTACTCAGCCAACTGGTAGGGGATGATAAAAGACAAAATTTTGGGTACGAAATCTCTGTGTCAAATCCAAGACAGGGCACAGAGACTTCAAAGTTAACACCCTCTGAGAAAATGTGAATTAAATTAGATGGCTATCAGTTACACCATAGCTGAAAGAAAAGACAACAGTTACCTGCTAAATAATAGGGATGCAAGTAAACGAGAAAGAAAGGGGCCACGGTAATTTATAACCTACAGAACACAGAGATGATGTTGAGGAATAAAGAGAGATTACAGCATGTCAGAAGGCCAGTATCTTTGTAGAATCCACTGTATTCAGAAACATTATGAATTTTAACTTAGACTCCTGCACCTGATCATCAAGAAAACTGAACAATAATATTTACAAAATGAAGTGGAACTTAGATGTTCTACATTAAACACAGAGTGCAGACAAAACTAGACACTTCTGTGGGAATGTTTTGCCACAAATGCCAGCAGCTCAGCAGAAATTTTCCTTTTAATTTACATAGAATAGAAAAAAAAAAAAAAATAAGATGGGAAAGAAAAATCAAGCATCTGATTTCCAAGCCAAATCAAATGCCCTAATTCGTAATCAGAAGTGTGCAGACCCATCTTTAAGCACTGAAACAGCATCACTGTACAAAAATCTGCAAAACACGAGCTGCACGCTGTTGAGGGATAGCTGGAGTCTAAGGAAGGTTTAACAGCCCTGAGGATGACGCTGGTGTTGTCACAGAACATCTCAGGGCACATCCACAGGGTGGCCTCAGAAAAGCATCTGCTCTTCTGTGCTGGCTGGACAGGAGCCAGCACAGGTCTGATGTCACACTGCACCAAAAGGACTGGGGGGGAGGGAGGCTGTGTGCATTAGGAGGGGCACCACAACCAGACTGGCTTCTGGACTGAAAATAATTTGAGTCTGGCCAGACAGGAGCACTGGCAGAAGAGCCTGTGTCTGCCTAGAGCTATCCACATGTACATACTCTCAGTGGCCCCTTCAACACCTTCAGTAATTTTCCTCTCCAAGGGAAGCAGAGCAGTATCTTTGCCTGTGTAAATTAATTAAACCCAGTGGCACTAACACAGTTTATTATAGTGGAGAATTGAGTGAGACAGTACCAAAAGGGTTGTTTCTCCAGCTATTAAAAAACCCAAACCCTTACAAACTAATCACTGCTATGAAAGATGTTGATAGCTTGCCCTCCTGAAGCAATATACTAAGAATTTCAAACAACACCACACTCTCTGCTTAAATTTCCTTTCTATGGTGTGTTTATCATAATCACACTTTGCAGTCTAAAGCTCCCCATACATTTATTAAAAAAAAAAAAAAATATCACTGTGAGGAATTTACTCAATGGAGACTTTTTATTTGATCTTGTCTAAATCAATTGTGTTCTCATAAAAGCAGCCACTCTCTTCAAGTCCAGCATAAACTTGATAGGTTTTGGTTATAAATTAACAAGATGCTATACCATTAGGCTATAATTATATCTTGTAAGTCACTGCAAATGCTAAATAAACATAATCTGTATCTTAATTCAAAATATTAGGCAAAATTAGGACATCTCATTTTGCAGTACTTTGCTGTGCAACTATAATTTTAATATGTATTTTTTACACACAAAATGCACAGCTGGGTTTTGTTGACTGAGCCTTTTCCATGTGTCACTGGAAATCTCTCAGTTTACCAGAGGGCAGAAAATTTGCACAGCTTTAATCACCTAAACTACATTTTCAAAATATCTGAACACCAAGCAATTCAAGTATTTCTCAGAACAACATTTTAGAAAAATACTGTCTTTGTCTCACACCAAAAAAAACCCTGGGACCATTTCTCTCAGTGCTTCATTCAAGGTAATTTTTTTTGTTTGTTTGGAACGGGCTGTTAATATCCAGAAAACTGACATTATTAGAATTTTGTCAATAATTCTTCCATGATTGCAAAGATCAATGCTCGAGTCTTATTCTAATTCCTAGAATCAGTCTAAATATACATCATCCTTATTGTGCAGCTGAACAGGTACCTTGGAGTCACTGATAGGCCATGCTAATCATTCATCCTTGGAGAGCAACGTTAAAACATTGATCAGGAAGCTTCCTGGCAATGAGGCAAAGGAAGAAAACAAGTCTAAGAATACAAATTTTTCCCATTTCTACATCCATTTTAGAGATCCAAGGTCAGGATCCTGTCTGACGACACGTTCTCACCATTTGAGCTAGATCAAAATGAAAACAGATGTTTCCAGAGCTCTTCTAACGTAGTTACAGGCTTGGTTTTGTTTTATTCCACTCATCTCTTTCTCAAAAGCAGAACGTTTCACAAAGCTATGTTACAATGTAAACTGTCTAACAGAAGATTAGAGAATGTAGTCTGTGGTTCTCCACAAGAAGGTATGTGCAGAGTGTTAAAAACACTCTGAAACTCTTGAAAAGGACTCTTTTTTTTTTTTGAAGAATCATCTTCCAGTCTTCAGCAACTCTTCTATAAATGAAAGCAGATTCACCTCTTAAATTCAGATTTTTCTTGCTCCAAATCTTTGCCTTTAATCTGATGTTCTTTAGGAAGTGGCCTATCTATCAACCTTCGTTAACTGTGCCATAAAATAAGGACCATCCACCAAGAGAAGCCAATTTAATTTGCTACAAGTGCCTCTCGACGGGTAAACACGGCAGTGGTAGCTGGCACACACTGCCTTCTCAGGAGATCAGTACAGCAATTTATTGATCTGAGGAGTTAATACTGACAGAGAAAACCTTCAGTGGATATTAGAGCTAGAGATCCAATAAATCTTTATAATAACTGAAGAAAAGACAATCTGTGTACTTTATAGCTTTTTCTAAGGGGTAGTGGATGAGTGTTGAAGTGACTTTCAGAGTGATAGTTTTCGTTGTATCATAAGTTATGTCAGAAAATATCATTTTATAATCTAGAAGTTGAGTAGAACTAGGAAATTAAATAAGTGCAGTCAGCAAGCTCAGTAGTGACATTTTGATATACTGAGGGTAATCAAAGACCTGCAAATGGATTTATTAATGGGTCTGCACAGCATCTTTATGAAATATTGTACTTAAATATCATTATCCCATTTTATCCATGAAAGTGAAAAAGAAGGAATAGTGATTTGCTCACAGCTATGAAGGGAGGTTAAAAACAAAGACAGAATCATCCAGTTATTCATCCAGGGTGTGCAATGCTCTCCTACACACTTTTGGAGTGCTCTGATTTCTGTAATTTCTGTATTATTTAATGTCATGGGGAGGTTTTGGTCATACACATACTTCCTGCAAATAAATTTTCTATAAACAACTGAGGCCAGAAAAATGAAAACTAGTTTAGATTAAAAAAAATGGTAGAGACACAATAAAAGCTTTCACTTCCCACCCTCCATCAGGTTTGAGCAACATCCTCCAACATCTCCCATCTCTCTTACTAAGAATGGAGTGAGAGCCTCCTTAAAATGTATTTTTTAATATCTACGAATACAGTTCAGGTGTTATTTATAAATCCATGTCATGTCTCCTTCCTTAGAAGATATAGTTAAATATTCTAATTACTAATGCATGCAATTAACAGCTGAGACATTTAAGTATTATTTTCCAGTATCTGCCTGGAGCTGGCTGCTCCCATAGCTAGGAAGGCTGCATGGGTCTTGCATATGACCTGAGTTATTGTAGCTCCCATTGCAGGGGTGAAGCATAAATTACAGCTACTGTGTCTTGCTACCTCTTTTTATGCTACATGAGGTACAGACGGCCTAGTAGGTTTTCAGCGGTTCAATTACCCGCTGATTCTCAATCAGCAATTAGTATACAGGCACACAGATTAGTCCTGATTCCTCTCACAATCTAAGCAAAGGCAGTCACCTGGGGAAGCTGGGAAATCTCACCTCATGAAAGATAAGATACTGA